ATATATATATGTATGTATTTCAGGGGTTATACAACCAGAATTTGAAGAACACTGCTGGAGAGCATGCTTCGTTTTTACAGTAAGTTTGGCTTTTAAAACTATTCGACAAGTACTGAATTGCTACAACACTCCAGGCACTGTGCTAGGCATTCTACACACAACCGTGAATAAGATAGAATCTCTGCCAACAAAGAGCTTATACTAGTGAACTATAAATGTTAATACTCATATAACATTTATAAAGAACTTATGTACTAAATACCATGCTAGGTGCTGTCATGCATTTTGACTTATTTTCCAAAGATGAAATTCATTTGGCTTGACATTTATGAATGTTATTTAAGAGTTTAATTAAACCTTTTCAGTGGCCCAGGTCCCAGAGGAAACTACTTTGAGCATTAAGCTAAGAAAGAGAATGGTGACTAGGAGTTACAACATGGTTTGAGACTGTGTGAGGGGAACAAAGAAAAAGGAAAGCCCAGCCTGTAGAAATAAATCACATGGCCAAAAACGGCCTGATTTGGAATATGTGCATAGATTGGAACCAGGCCTTTTATCCCATTCTTTTTCTTCCTTTGCCATCTCCCCTAACAACATTTATCCCTGTTGAAAAAAAATATTCAAAGCTGGAAATAAGGAAAATATATGATTAAGTGACCTATTGATAACATGCATCTAATAAGCCTACCTGAGGCTCCCTTACTTCTCTTAGGACCCAGATGTTTTACAATCTTATAAAGTTAGCAGTTAACATGTAGACAAATAATAATGTTTTCAGTTTTGTTTCCTCTGTTCTATAGAGAAGATAGCCCCCAAAGATACCATTTATTACCTGCTAATACATGATCCAACTTTGCAACTAACTTAGTCATCTTATCACAGTATTTCTCTCCACTCAAACTATGTTAATTCAGCTCCTCCACATCTAGTTCTAGCGAGGTAATTCCGGTCCTCCTTCCAGAGACTGGTTTAGCCTGGGCATGGAATCTAATTCTAGCCAACCACCTATGACGCAAGTTCATTGTTGGCATAGCCACCCTTAAGAAGATATGTGTGAGAGGAAACAATTTTTTGTCTATCTCTGAAAGTCACTGTACAACAAAGTGATGCTAGCCAAAGGACCTGAACATGGAAAAAAAAAAAAAAAAAAGAAGGAAGGAGAGAGGGAAAAATAGGAGGGAAGAAAGGAAAGAGAAAGGGGACAGTCCTTTATTACATCCTTTAGCTCTAAATCTTGGGGTGCCTGGATGGCTCAGCCAGTTGAATGTCTGACTTTGGCTGAGGTCATGATCTCATGGTTCATGAGTTCGAGCCCCGCATCAGGCTCTCTACTGTCAGCACAGAGCCCACTTCAGATCCTCTCTCCTCCTCCTCTCTCTCTCAAAAATAAATCTTTAAAAAAAATTAATAAATCTTAAAACTACCTTATCTCTAGATTCTTGGTATATCATATAGTAAACTATATTATTGAATCAAATTGAAATTGAGGTTCTGTTACTTATAGCCAAAAACACTTGTTTTCAGTGCCTCCTACATGCTACCACCAGATCACCAAAGCACAGCACTTTCTCTGCTAAAACAATTGGAAGAGCTGCCCCAAAGACAACCAAATTAAGTCACTATGGGAAAGCACTAGATGAAAGGAAAATGTAAAGAGAAAGCAGTCAATAACTAGCTGTAGGATGAATCTTCTCTGGATCTCAGTTTTTCATATCCATATGAAAAGGAACAGAATAAGTTGATCTATACGGTACTTTACAATTTCTACATCTTGTATGACCTTGCAATTTAAATATAAACACATGTATAAGGTGTTGTTAATATACTCTTCTATGAACTATCCCATCAAAGAGGAAATTGTTCATCTGATTTAATTTTTAAGAAAACTATCTGCTGTAAAATTTTTAATTATTCAAATCCATATTCCCTCATCAAAATCAAAAATTAAATCTGTTTTTAAGCATCTTATATACACTTATGTACAATATATGTGCCAATTATAAATTCCTTTATAATGAGTATATTACTGAGTTGTTAATTATAAAATCACAAGTCTAAAAATATCCCATACTGGGAACTTTTTTACTCAGTTAAATAGGCCTATGTCCATTTGTTCATTGACAACACAGTATAAAACCTAAAATTTTAATTATAGGGGCGCCTGGGTGGTGCAGTCGGTTAAGCGTCCGACTTCAGCCAGGTCACGATCTCGCGGTCCGTGAGTTCGAGCCCCGCGTCAGGCTCTGGGCTGATGGCTCAGAGCCCGGAGCCTGTTTCCGATTCTGTGTCTCCCTCTCTCTCTGCCCCTCCCCCGTTCATGCTCTGTCTCTCTCTGTCCCAAAAATAAATAAACGTTGGAAAAAAAAATTTTTTAATTATAATTATAAGTCTGTTTCTCTGCTAAGAAATAGCCTGA